GGCCAGTGGTTTCCAAACTTTTCCTAGTCACGGCGCCCTTTTTAAATTAAAATTTTTCCATGGTGCCCCAGACAAAGTATGACTATTCGTAAGTAAGAGATAAAAATAAATAAAACTCATGTATCTTCATTATTTTTTTTTACTTTATTAACATTAAATTAATGTTTAATTATTAATGTGATGGATGAGCCTGTAAATCACTGCACATTTTCTCAAATCGTGAAATTAAACTGGACACGGCCACCTTCATTTCCTTTTCCAGGTTGAGTTTAGCTCTATACTTGTTTTTTATTACAGCGACCGCACAAATACGACGTCGAAAATGGAATTAGAAACTGCTGAGCCTTATCACTTAGAAGGGGATATTCATATTTTATTGAAATCCCAAATTCTGTCAATTCGTTGGCTTGAATGTTGCAGTAAGAATGATATCCTGCTCTGATGCTTTTCGTTATACGACGAACGAAAGGTCAACATGTTTACACTGGAATTCAAGAAGATTGTCTCGGAAACAGCGTCAACAAGAGTACTCCAGATTAGCTATTCGACAGTTGGTCAATCATAAACTAAACGATTACTGGAAATCGAACTTTTATTTGCACATATCTTTTTTTCGATATACTTTCTTCTCTTTTACTCGCCCAGAAACGTGATTTTGTCCAAGTCGGAGGGCAGCTTAAGTCCTACATGTCGTCATCGGCAGCTCCAATCGGGAGCAAACATTCATTTTCAGACACACAACATCAACCACTACCCCACGAACGGCTCTATAACCGTTGGCGTACATTGAACAATTTGAAGTTACAGTAGAATTCCCAACTTATTATTTATGTTTTAACAACAGACATGGAGATCGAGCTCGCCGTCTAGAATTCGCTTGGCTTTGTTTTAGCAACTTGAATGTGTTGTCAAGGCAACCTCAATGAATGCACTTTGTCTGAACTCCTCCACTGTCCAGCGTCGAAACGTGGTTTTGGTATATTCCTAGAGCCCTTCGGACAGGGTACTTTCATCGGGCTCTCGTTGACAATGCTACCAAGTTGTGAATACAAGGTGAAATCATAATCATTGAGCACTGCCATAGTTGCTGACTTTACTTATGTGATGATTTTAATTGCAACTTTGTGTAGTTTCGGAAATGGGCTTCCAGAAATACGCTGGGTTCAAACTCCGCATGGCTACACATTGTAGACCTGCTGAAGTATGTTGGGGTTGGCTTATGTCTCTAGTCGAGCAACACACCATCGTCTGGTTACAGGCGTTGATAAATGTCACATGACTTCTTCAAAGTGTGAAATAATTGGAGACAACTTTAGCATTCACTCTCTTCCCTCCTCGCACGTTCACACACACAGCTCAAGCTGAATCAGGCCCAACGGCACTGGTACCATAGTCGTCTGCAAAAACAGCTCTCCATCTACCGACAATGGCTGTCTCCGAAACAGTGGCGCCAGTTTCTCACAGACGATCTGCTCGGTCGTCAAATGCCGGAGCGGGTGAATCTGGCGCTGTTCGAAGCGGCTGTAATCGGCGTCCGACGAGCGGTCGCCGAATGCCGACACCAGTTCCGTCGGGAGCGATGGAACTGCAGTCAGGTGCCCGATGATGACATGGCCCTTTTCGGCAGAGTTCTCCTCAAGGGTGAGATCCGTTTGACCTTGGCTGACTGAAACTCGTATGCAATCGCGAAGGCCTACTTAATCTAAATACAAGTAGTATAGTCGGTTGTAATGGCTAAACCTACATGTTTGTCATAATGGCACGCCCACTTTAAAATGATATATTTACGAAGCTTGGCCTCACATGAAATGCATGCCTGTCCTCTCGCCCAAGGGCCGTTGAGGCCACGACGTGTCGCGGAATTACCACAACTCGGGTTCGAGTCCCGCCGGGGGTGCTGATGAGATTTGTTCAGGTAAGGTAGGGCATGTCACCCAGTCAAGATGAGATGAAGATGTCTTTATCTAAATTAAAGACTGAATTCATGTGATTTTGCAAATTCAAATTTTAAGTCGCTAATCTTCTTATACGACCCAGGTTGAGTGCAGCTATGGTGCAAGATCCACGGATAATTTAGAGGCCAATTTATATGAATATCTCTCCTTAATTGACTGGCTGATTACCATGACTCCTTATAGTCTGTTGAACTTACTTCCATTCCGAGTGAAAGTGTTTGCTGAAGAGATTCCAAGGTCAGTGAAGAATTCATATGAATTTGCTAGATTAATCGGTCAACAGAAGATCTTTTGCTTAGCCTTGATGTGGTATCAATGCATACTAACATCCAGTTTAGAGAGTTATTGAAGCACTAACACTCAGCCTAGATGAGCACACAGAAGTTATTGGGGAGGGAAATCTGAGCATAGACTCAATCTTAATGCTTCATTATCTATCCATGAGCAGCACATACTTTACCTTTAATGATAAAGTTTATGAACAGGTGCGAGGCCTGGCAATGGGATCTTGTTTGGCTACCATTTTGGTTAATAATTACATGTCAAGAATGGAGGAACACTTCATGGAAGAGGTAAGATTGACACCCAAACTGTTAGTTGGATACATGGATGACTACTTTGCCAGATGGCAGCATGGCAAGGATAGTTTACATAATTTCTTGTTTTTAATTAACCAGATTGACTTTAATGTTAAGCTGACAATCTAGAT